AGTAGGCCGTTCGGCTCCCTCCTGTACGTCTGATGGCTTCCACCTTGTCAACGGGTCACCCGTCGTTACGGGTGTCCGATACACTCTGTGCCGTTTCGTCGCTGCAATCTCTGCCTCTATTACTCCTCTATTTCGTATACGACCACCAGAACCTTCCTCGGGAAGATCGTTGACCGGTCGATGCGCATGCACCATGCGCTCCACCACCTACACGTCGCGATCGATTGCAGTATCCTATGGCTTAGGTCAGTCCGCCTCCGTGGATCTCCACCATTCATGTCTACCCTCCGCCATAGCACCATACTTGGATCAATTGGCTGGGTGTCGTATCGCCAGCTGGTCTCTGGCCTTGACCCACGCACGCCTCGAGGTCCAGGTGTCGTATGCTTATGGAACACGATCAACGAACAACTTGGCGGGGCCGGAAGCTTTCATTGGCCTGAACCTGTCTGGCAACGTTTGTTAATTAACAAACTCATCGGTAGATGGAGTAATCTCTGCCAGAACTTTGCGATACTCAAAGCGCTGTGCTTTGATCCCATGGGCCGAGCATAGAATCCTGGATCCTGACGATCTGGATGATGACATAGGATCTGTTCTTTGAGAACATCACCTACCTTCGTTGATAGCCCCCGGCGGATAGTCAATCGCGCGGATTGGTAACTGCCATTGAAGTTTCTGATGCCGTCAGGCAGACCCGCTCTGCCCACAGTCATTATCGACCATCCGTCATAACGGTCTCTCACACTGAGATGATTGTTGACACTATGCCTCCCACGTCTGTGAGACGGGGCCATCTAACACCCACATGATTGCTCAGCGCATGGCCCATGCTATGGCTACCATCGACGATTCGACACTCAGAGACGAACACCAATAAGGCGGACTACTGACCGTGATAATACTCGCCGCGGCTCTGTACATGATATAGTGCCGAGACACTGAGTGTCGACTTGGCAACAGGAGCTCCCCACCGGATTTCCAATGGAAGGTCAAGGTAGATTGATCCCGTGTAATGATAGCCAAGACGATGAACCGCCAGACGGATTTTAGGAAGAGAATTGCGACCATTCTAATAATACACGTAGCAAGCAACATAGGACAACAAAATTGGCACCCAAACCGCGCCCACCCGACAGTCATTCACCGCGTTTTCTGCCGCTTCTTCACCTCTTCTTCCTTCGTTGCGTGCAGCATGATCTTATTCGGATGTCCCGGTGTCGCGCCAGAGTGGCCCTTTGACCAATCATATGACACCGCGTACGCGAAGATGGTACCAGTCCTGTTGAACGCCGTCGAGGAGATGGGGCCTGGGCACGGCTCGAAAGCTGCATAATATGTCAAAGAAACAGGCACGGCCGAGATCGTAGTATATACGTACTCTTCAGACGGACACGGGAGTCTTTGTCCCAGAAGTTGATGGTCCCGTCAGACCCTACAAGGATGTGTCAGACAGAAAATGAGTAAGGAGAGACGGTGAGTACTTACCGCAAGTGGAGAATGTGCCGTGCACTGGGTGAAATGCGATATCATTCACGGCAAAGACAAGGGACTGGTCCTTGGAATTTGGTGCCTGGTCCCGACGGTGGCACTTGAAGGAAAAGTTGTTTCTGCAATGCCTTAGCCGGAGCTACGACGGTGAACCAATAAGTGGACTCACTGTGCGTCTTTATCATCGACATATCTTCGGAGTTGTGTCAACGACTGCGGAACGCCTGAAGTAGGATATGGTGACTCACTGAATTGCCACACGACCTTCTACGCTGCCCACTGCGAAACCGTTACTCGTAGGAAAGCACGACACCACACGCGTTTGCCATTTTAGCGGAGATACCATAGTCTTGAAAGGAGCGTGCACGTTCAGCGAAGACACGACTCAGTCAAGGGCCACATACTTTGTACGCGGTATTGGGATTCGACAGGTTGAATATTTGAATGTGGCGTTCCGCCGTGCCCACGACCATGAGCGGATACGCAACGTCGAGCGTGTAGCACCGCTCCGGTAGTTGCACAGTAGCTATTGGGTTTGGAGTCCGCATGTCCCAATACTATGCGGCCGGTCAATACAGACAACACAGACAACACCGATGCGACGTGTGCAAGCTCACCTTGATGGTCTTGTCCCAACTTCCCGTCGCCAGAATCCCTCCCTGAGGCGTTTCGATCCACTTCACGACTTTTACAGGCCCGTCATGTTGCGCCACCTGCTGTGACTGGCTGGTCTGCACATCGTACAGACGCGCGGCGTTGTCTGCTCCACCGGAAATAATCTTGGTTCCATCCTGCGTGGCAAATAATGCGTGTGAATCGCGAAGGGAACCCACCTCCACTATCAGTGAGCTTGAACGCACCTTGGTCCAGCAGGTGCTCAGCACGGGGGCTTGGTGAGGGTACATTGCCTTTCCCTGAGTCTGTCCGTTTGGACCAACCTCATAGACACGAACCTGAATGCATAGTATATTCAATTGTGTTCAATGTTTCACTGAGGATGGGACAGGATACAAACGTTGTTGTCCCAGCTGCCCACTGCGAGGTAGTCGGCAGCGGGAGAGAATGAAAGAGACGATATGGAGTCAGATGGTGGATCGGCGACTTCAATATCCTTGTCGGCATTATTGGAGACGTTCGCGGACGTCGTTGAGCCGAAGAAAGCCATGGCGGCCCTTTGTAGCAGTGGTCAGAGTCAAGAGAGCCGGACGCGACGGCGGAGGCGCAGGTAACTTTGAATTACGTAACCGTTCCATTTCAACGCGTTCTCAGGCAGCATCCTCATATTCAACTCCGAACAAAAGGTTCTTCTCGTCCACTCGATCCCATCGTAAGGTATCCTGAACGACGAAACATCAGTATAAACCCATACCAAAAGTACGACGAGCCAGGGACTCGAACCCTGAACCGCCAGCGATATCCTACACCGGAAACTGGCACGCTACCATTGCGCCAGCTCGCCATCGACTGTGAATTCGATGAAAAGTGATGTTGATCCCTCTTCATTTGTATTTCTGACTTAACTTAGGAAACGCTATCGCGCTATACCGAGAGGAGCTTTACATACTTAAGCTGTACGGCAAGACAAGAACGCTGAGAGATAAAAGTTAAAACTGCCAACACCGCCTCAGGTCTTATGCAGACGACGTGTTGAGCAATGGCACCGTCTCATTTATCAAGAACATAGCAAAGAATTACATGGTAAGTCTACGACAAAATATACATGAATGCAAGCACTAGAATACAATGAGTCCAACCTGTAAATCATATCATCACACATCTTCGGTGAACCTGCTCTCGACAGGAGCCTGTCCGAGCGAGTCGGGCTCTCTCGAAGGTCCACCCTCCTCTTGCTGCTCTGCGTCCGCAGGCCCCGCTCCATCATCGACGGCGTGAGGAGAACGACCCTCGGGCGCTTTCTCCTGCTGGCGCTGACTAGGTCTGCGGTTGATACCGTTGCTCTCTGGCGAAGGCGTCGACCGGCCCTTCTGTTCATTCTGCGTGCAACGTCAGCGAATGTACAACTAGAAGTGCATGTCACCTACCGTGTACCCATTCTGACCGATTGCGATGTCGGAATGCCGCGCGGGATGAGTGTACGACGGTGGCTCAGTCTCGTCCTCACCTTCTCCGCCAGCCTCGCGGGCTTCCATGTACGTCTCGTCCTCCTCCTCTTGCTCCTCCTCAATGCTACTGCCCTCTTCCTCATCCTCCTCTTCTTCATCCTCACTCGTGTAGCCCACAGCACGGACGGCGGCGGCGACCGGTCCGCTGCGCTCCATATGCTCGCTCGCGACGAGGTAGCGCGCGCACAACATACGGATGTCGTTCCACCATTCCATCATGTCCTCATGGCTGCGTCCGCGGAAGCTCCACGCGTGCTGGCTGCGCCCGAGACGGAGCGAGCCCGTCTTCGTCGAACCCTGTCCATCGCTGCGGCCCTCGATGTGGAACTTGTGCGACTTGGCATTAGGAGCGGAAGCAGGGCCGAGGGTGCAGAGGGGAAGGAAGAGGCTGAAAAGCGGTGCCACGGACTGCGTGGGGTCCGACGAAGAATACTCATGCAGAAATCCTGCCGGGGTAAGTACGAAGTATGACTCGCGGTATGCGCGCGTGAATCGCTTCTTTCGCTCAAGGTAGCCAGTGTGCACTGCGATAACAGAGGGGTCCTCTTTAGCGGGATAGTTGATAGTTTCTGGGTTGCGCAGGGGCGTCTCGGGGTCGAGGAGGTGGTCCGAGCGGGCGGAAAAAGATATCCATTCGTGGTCCGCGGGAATAGACGCCATGTGCGCGCCGAGGGTACGCCAAGTCTCTTGCACGGAATCGGACATGCGCGATTGCCACTCGTCAAAAGTTTGCCACGCAGACTGGATGGCGCGGACGATGCCCTCTTCGAAGTGAGCTGAGTTCTGCTGCATGATGATAATAGATTTCTGGAGCGCGTTCTCTTCATGGACTTGCTTGCTAAGCTGGCGAATGACAGCCATGTTCGAGACATATCTAAGAGAAGTCTGAGATACATTTGTAAAAGGAAGAGTCGAAAACATACGGATCACTCTTGGAGTTGATATTAAGTGGGGTGTTTTTGAAGGTCGATACGTTGGTAGAAAGATCCGCCACCAGCTTTGAAGACAGTTCGCGCTCTTTAGCAACAATCGTGGCCAACTTGCCGGTGTCGTTCTGGACATTCTGCAGTGGGGGTAAGCATATAGCGGTACGTAACGTGCAAGATATAAACCTTTATATGTGCCTTGATCTCCGTACGAAGTTTCTGGAGATGTTGCACAATCGAACTGTCGATAGTGCGGCCGAGGTTGGCATGCTGGTCCGCTATGATGCGTGTCTTGTCTCGGATGCCGTAGTATACGTCCTGCGAAGATGTGAGCATTGCGCACGGCTCATGTGAATGTGGTGCGCACCTGTAATCCTCCTTCTCCGAGAAACTGGTTACCAGAGCGGAAAGGTACTTGGATGACCGCACCGAGCTTCGTCAGCTCCTTTGCTGTGTTATTCTCAATGTCTGCTATGCCCTGTTGATACGCGTTAGATGTCTGGGCAGACGTAGAGAGAAAGGATATGCACACCTCAAAGTACGCAATGAGCTGCTTGACGATGGCCTTCCAGGCGACGAACCGCTCGATGAGGACATCGGACGGTCGAAGGTCGTGCGGCGCGATGTTGCGCTTGATGAGCGACTGGCTCCTGGAGGTGGTCGAGCCGTGCTTGCTGGCCCGCGATATAGAAGTTGCGCGAGAGATGGAGGCGGTATCGTTCATGGTGTGGAGGAAGATGAGAGGAAAGGGGGTGGAGTGCGCACGACAGAGTATTTGTATCCGTGAGTGCGTCTCGCGCAGCCGAGCTCGCGCGTTGACGTCAGTACCAGGGCCCCGAGCACCCGAGCGGCGGGCGGGAGGACCCCGAGACATCATACACGTGACCGTCGCCCACGTCGCTTACGTCTCGACGTCTCCGACGGATTTGTCTCCATCCAGCTGTCCTTCTCGCGGTCCACCTTACTTGTAGCATACACACCCCCTCCTCCGGTACTCCCATCTCAGCCATGAACGCCCCTCTGCAGAACCTCGCAATCTCCCTCGGTGTCATGCAGGGTGCGCCATTTTTCTTCAACTTTTTCCTGTGCCCGAAATGACATACGTGTCATACAACAGTGGCCCGTAAAATTCCCTTCGACGACCCCAAGGTCCTCGAGTATGTCCGGATCGGATACGTCGCCAGCCAGGTCATCATCCTTGCTGTTTACTACTTTGCCTCTCAAAAGGTGCGCTCTCTGGGACCTATCTCGTGCGCACCTAACAAACGCGTTTCGCAGATCAAGTCGAAGAACGACCAGACCGTCCTCAAATATGGTACGTCTCTTTCCGGGTTACTTCCTCGCTAGAGTTCCTCATACTCTTTCACGCAGTTGAGCCTCCGAATCAGATGGTAATTCGCGCGTAGCTCCGTCTGCTACATGCATTGACCTGTTCTGTAGACGCAGGAACCTGGCAATCTTGTCACCACCACAGTGCGAGACTACGACCTCTCTGAGACTTCCAAGCTCGTGGGTCTTTCGGCATGCGTGACCTTGTTTATTTTGTTCACCCCTGACTGCGCAGATTCGCGCAGCATACACGTCCATTGCCATGATGGCGTTCCTGCACCTCTACCTCAAATACACGCAACCCCTCTTTGTCCAGGGTCTCATGGGCCTGAAATCACTCTATGAGGCCAAGACCGTCAAGATCCACGTCCTTGGCCAGGCTCCTGAAGGCGACCTCAAGCGGCCGTTCAAGGGTGCTGCTGGCATGTTTGGTGGTATGTCCCTCCCTACTCTCATTGTATGTCCTTTTCGGCTTCTGATGGTATGACTACCATGCAGCTACGGCGGATCCGCAGACAGACAAGGCTGCAATTGAGGAGGCGGAGAAGCGCATCGGCACGAAGAAGGAGGAGTAGAGCGCGCACTGCTACGATAGACCTGCCCTTGTTCAGCTGGATCTACGACTGTTTGGATTAAGTACCGCTGTGGACGAGCTGCATCATAATAGGTGTTGGATTCACGCGCCCACTTTGCCTGTTCGTCCTTCGTTGAGAGACGAGCGCGATGCGATAGGTTATCGTGTGAGCTCGAAGAAAAATAATCGCGTTGCCTGTTCTATGATATGCTATTGGGACATGCAGCTCCTGAGCGTACGTCAAGGACAGACGTAACAGTAAAACGGTTATTGGAGTTTGTAGCCTACAAGGGACCGCCGCCCGATGATTTCGCCAATCTAACGCACATATCCGCGGTCAGATAGGTCCGCACATACATACTGTCGCAAAGCGCACCTTGTATATCCCATACGCTTCGACAGCATACACGCCCACGCGCTGCCACTCGCCTGTACGAGCGATCTCGCGCCAGTACGCGGGGCTGGATGCGCGCTGCCAGATGGACGCATAAGCGGACTGCACCTGAGCGAGGGAGGTCGGGGGCTGCAAGCGCTCCGCAACATAGACTTGCTTGAGCAGTTCGCGAGCGACGTGGAAATTATACTCGAGAGGCTGGCGGTAGGCTGCGTGTCTTTCAGTTTCTAATGCAAGGGTAAAAACAGACTACGGACGCACCACCGAGGAGGCCTGTCAAACGGTCGCCCACAGGCCCCAGGAACTTCCTGGTGGCTGCCCAAGCTTTCTCCGCACCCTTCTGGGCGGATCCGAGGACGTCCTGCGCCTTCTTCTGTGCAGACTCTGTGCTGGTCGACGCGAGGCGCCTGGGGGCGGCGCGGGGGAGCTGAGCGCGCTGGCGAAGAGCGCGCAGCTGTGCAGTGGAGGGACGCATGGCTGTGAGATATTTTGTGCCGCGAAGAGCAGACGCTTTTGAGAAGGAGAGGAGGTTGGGTGTGGACGTGGAGGAGGAGATGCGTGACGGCGACGCAAAGGTTCGGCCGGCCGTTCCCGGGCTCGCTCCGGACTCTGCCGGGGGTGCTGATGGCGACTATCTCATCTAATCGGCTCGATGGCCGGCCGCCAACGCCCAAGGCACTTTGTGCTCTAGATTGGCTCTAGACTCGAGCCCGACATCGTATCCCACCCGTTCCACTACCCGTCTTATAAGGACAGCGCCTCTTCTTTTCGCGTCTTATCACTCTCCTTCGGGCCTGCATCACAGAGTTTAACAACTCTATGTCTGCTCAACCCTCCGACAGTTCTCCCGGCGTGCTCGCGACTGCGCGTTACGGCAAGGACAAGGTGCGGGTCTTCCGCGTTGTGCGCGACCCGGCATCCAAGGTCCATCACATTGTGGAGTACAATGTGACTGCCCTCCTGGAGGGCGACATCGCGACCAGGTGCGCCGCGCCGCATCGGTTGACATCGCAAGGTTGACATGGGGTGGATTGTGACAGCTTTACGCAGGCAGATAACACTGTGGTCGTCGCGACAGACTCGAGTACGTGGTCTCAGACAGCACATCTGCAT